AGAGAGAGAGAGAGAGAGAGAGACGGCCGTGGATCTGAGCCGGAGCCTCTAGCCACCCCCACCAGCTAAAGTCTGACTGGCATTGTGTCGGACCGTGCATGCTTACTACTACCACTAAGCTATCGTGCGGTTGACTCATCCATTCAACTTATACGCGCAGCAAACACGCACGCTTAGGTTGTAGTACTCTTTCTCTCCTTACCGCTCGTCTCTGGGGCCCAGCAACAGCAGCAGCAGGCGCGTGGGTCGCACGGGGGGACAACAGCGGACGCGCTAACACTAAGCCATCATCATCCCTCCCAGGATCGGTCACCCGGCGGTGGGTGGCTTCGTGCATTATACACTCGAACATCGTAAAATCGCACTAAAACAACTGCCATCTTCCCACACTGTGATGTGGACGTGGAGCTCTGATTGTTTATCTTTATATTTACTCCTCCAGTTTTGCACGTTCGGGGAATTACGTTTCACGTCGTATTCTCAGTTTGAAGTCTCCGTTATCTTCCAAATCCATTGAAGGGATGTAACATTATTATTATGTGCATACAGTGTACTGCTCTCCAGCATCCGCAGAATTGGAAGGATTACACTGCACATTGTCCGTGAGCCATGGTGCGGCGGAATTTTTCACAGAGTGAATTCGTGTAAGTTGGTTCGCCGGACTCGAGAAGTTGGAAATCTTTGTCCTCATTTCTATGGTCTCCAACGAAAAACGGATGCGATGATTATTTTCTTTACTGCCGCCAGTTGGCCCCGTGATTGCGCTGTGGATGAGGTTTTTTTTTGTGGGCCAAGTGCGCGCAGACTGTCGGCGGTAGATAAAATGTCAGGGGGTATTTCGTTTTGTGTAGGTAGGAGAGGTAGCCCAAGTGAAAGAGAAGTAACTCGCCTCTTGTCATCATGACTCGTGTATTTAATTCTGTCCCCTTTCCGTGTGTACATAATAGTGTGACGTCACTACCGCACGCTGTCACGTGATTTTGAGGCAGAATGTATGGGGTCGGACGAAAAAAAAGACAGGAAGAAAAAGGAGGGGCGGTCGACTCCATAAGAAGGAAAAGAGGAGCTACCGGACATAGATGTAGACTATTTTTTTTATCTGCAAGGAGAAAAGAGTAAGG